GTTGCATTGTTGAATCCATTTCTCGAACTCCGTGAAATTGTGCAGTTGCTTGGGTGACGCACAACAAGAATGTGTATGATCGAGACAGGACTTAGGGATGAACGGTGAAGTGGATGAATTAATTCTAGAAGTCTCCCAAATGGCTCTATGTTTGGACCTTCTTGTAATTTCTTTAGTTGTGTCTCGTCGTGTCAGTTAACACCGCTACGAAGAGGCTGTTGATGCTTGGTCGGCCATAACCAGCATCGACGAGGCCAAACGTTATGGTCCACTGTTGAATGACACGTCTAACAAGTGATGCCACGATCTACCGTGAGCTCCTTGACAATGATCGTCTTAAGGATCCTGACAACGGAGTCAGTTTACTTCCTGCAAAAACTCAAACCTTATTCCGTAGAAGGAGTGCAGAATGTTTCCTTCTACACAGTGCAAAATTTCTTGATCCATCGTAGGGGCAATCATCAGCTCGTGACGTTCACGTCGAAGTCGAAAAAATCATTTTGCGTCATGGATGGAATCGCCAGAGTTGACCCAGGAATTCCATGACAATCTTGCCGATTTTGCAAGCTGAGGCTACAGCCGCTGGAGCGGCCGGAAGATCTCCACCTGAACGCCCTGCCAAAATTTACTGGACTACTGATAGAACAGAACACAGTCAAGGACAGGCTGTTTCCATGCGCCAATAATTTCTTTGCACTGTTTTTCATTATCCGCGATGGCCCGTGTGAACGCTTGACTATAGTGAGCTCTAGAGCAAGGGAACCCTGATACATTTGTATGATCTAGAGACCATCAAGCAAAAATGTCGCGACATCTTCATCATGTCCTGTACGCCAGTCCAAGGGATCCGAACATTCGTCCGCAGAACAAGCAAGGTTTGGTATGGATTTTGGACCAAAAAAAGTACGAAGGAGAGGAAGGTTTTTTGCCTTTAGATGATGATGAGACCCTCTGGGCCCTTGATGTGCGTGAAGTATTTGGCTTTCCATCTCAGTCAACGGCACCTTTGGCGCACGCAGCCAGCCGAGTCCGAAGAAGAGAGGACGTCTTGTGCGCAAGATGGACCCAGCCTGCTGCTATGGACTTTGCGCCGTGAGGAAGTGGATGGGAAACCTACAAGGTTGTCCGTTACCCAAAGGCCAGATGTGACGTTTTGCAAACAAGTTCGCTGCTTCTGATACCTTTGCCTTTGAGCAACGGGAGAATATTCGGGCCGATGGAGCGTTCCAGTGCATGCAGTGCAAGCGCGGAGACAGCGGCGACCAAGAAGAGCGGCGGTAGGGCAAGGCTAATGTGGCTGGGGAAGAACAAGATCCAGATCAGTCTAACTGGGGTAAGGGCAAAGGTAAGCCCAAAGGAAACAAGGGAGGCAAAAATATGTCAAGCCAAAAGGAAAATACACGTTTGGCGAGGATGATGCTAAAGGAAAGGCAAGAACAATGTCCAAGACCGAAGACCTTTTAAGCGCCCGATGAACAAGGTGCCTCGAGCTCCAAGCCGGCATCGTGGATGACTGGTCCTGGACCGGTGAAGGATGTTGGAAAGCCCCTGAGTACACGCCAGCAGTTCAGTTCAAAACGCCGCCGCAGTGTTGCGCTTATGTTGGCATCTTTTAAGACCAAGGTCGAGCGCAGATTTTGCTCAGTATTGAGCACCCTTCCTTTGCACTAAGGCTTGCCCTCCTTCCTTCCCATCCTGCTCAGGACACGCAGTGCTAGACCTGACCTCCTTCGTGACCTGCTTGGTATCGACCCGACGACCTTCACTGATAAACAGCATATCTGAGAAGGACGTCCTAAGAATGGCCACTGGGTTCACGTTCCAGATCTTGATTCGTGTTCGCAACGCAGCCCGCAAGGCATTGTATGTCCCAACTAAGGCAACGTGGCCGGTTCCTCTAGACCATTTGTCTCCAGAAGGCAAGACCGAGTTTAAACTTGAGACAGGTGAGCCTGACACTATTGAAGGTCGATGGACTGACAAGAATGTAGCTCCTGTTGAGAAAACATAGACAGGTAGCACAGGTTGGTTATTGACGAAACACCCAAGACCAAAAAACATATTTTGGACCAGCCTGTTCCGTCTTCATTTCCGTCTTCAAGCAAGAAGCCTAGTGATAAACCATCCAGTGGCTTGCCTGTTGTTGTTTTGGATGACGCCGCGGACACCATTAAAGAGCCAGCGACGATGATCCTCTCATCGATCCTCCGCCAACCCTGCCTGTAGCACTGGCCAGAATCACAAGCGCTTGTCCAACAAGAAAGGTCACACGTGAACTGAAGCATTGTCATATGAGCTTTGAACTACTTAAGCGTCCTACTCATGCGCTTCATTTGCCAATGACGTGAGACCTATGAAATTTATAAGTCAGTCATTGAAGAGCGTGAGACAGAAGTCCAAGACTGCACCTTCACGCAAAACGCTCGTGGTTTAAGATCTGAAAATGTTGGAGAAATGACCTTCATGGATCGCTGTGAGATTTCAACGCTGTCAGGAGAGCGGATCACTATCCTGACCATCTTGGATGGAGCAACTATCCTGTTCCTGCGACGAATAAGAACGCGCCTGAGGCCATTGATCATTGAGGCTTTTCGTTAACATTTAGATCAGTATAATCGATTGCGTTATAAGTTTGTCGTTGCCGATCGCGCGTTCAAGACACCAGAATGGGAAAGGACCCACCAGATCCTGAACATTCGCCCAGCCAGTCTTGGTCCAATGACACCAGGGCCGAATCGCGCTGAGACGGCCAATCCTTTGTTTAAGAAACAGGTTAAGGTCACGTTGCAGTCAATACGTATAGGTCCGTGCCTGTGTCTCTTACATGCAGTGTCGTACCGTCAGTTTCTGCGTGAAGCATCTTTGGCTCGCAACACGTTTGTACCCTATGGGAGTGTAACTCCTTTAGAATCAGCCCCTTCGGCCGTCGTCCAGATTGTCTTGCCCAACTAGACGCTGCTTTGCCGTCACAGTTGAGCCAGGGACCAAGACCAGAAGAGCTTATTGCAATCCAACCTCGAGATCTCTGAAGATATCCGTCGCGACCTTGCAGGACAATTCCGTATGTCGAACAAGTTAGTTGCAAGAAGATAAGTCTAAGCTAAAGCTAGAACTTTGAGAAAACGTAACCTATTTCTGTACAAGGATAGTTAAAGTAAGGTCAAGGTGTCCTTGCTGAGACGCGATGATACAGTCATTCCATTTAAGCCAGGAATTGAACTTCCAGAACATGAGGGTCCACCTCGTAGAGGAGGTAGGCGCCAGAGTCAGGTTTTGTATTCGAGACCTTCGCTGGTTCAGCCAGATTGAGTCAGTATATAGGAACACCTATCGGTATTAGGAACGGTTTCGGTATTTCCACATCCAAAGGATGATCAATGACCAACCGGATCATTCGCGAGCAGCGGCCAGATGTTGGTCCCAAACCCGTCAAAGCCCGGATTCAAGAGTCGCATATTTCATAGACGCACATCATGCATCTCTTTGATGCTGCCGACTGGTCTTGAGAGTGTGTGGAGAGTCTGAAGCAAGCACCAGCTCTGCGTCTCCACGCACTCTTATTGGCCTTGCTCAGCTTCCCTATGCGGCTCAGGCAAGCAAGGAAAATAAGAGTGTGTGAGGAGACTAGTGAGCAAACATCCAGGCAGCGTAATACTCATGGTGTTGCTCTGTATGTCGTTCACCAGTCTCCACACGCTGACAAACTTTCTCAGGCTTTCAAAGCGTGGCTGGGCTTCACCACTTGCACCCATGCCCAGAGCTTGTCGGACAAGAGCAAGCTTCTTGCAGACAATAACAGTGAGAATGCCAATTGCCAATGACAACCAGTTCTTGTGCGCATTGTCATTCTGCGTTGGCATGGACTATATAGGCTTCCTTTCAACATCTTTACAATGGTACAATGGACCTTGCGTTGTCAACGTCATGGACTTCTGGTGCTTCCTCGGCCGTTCGTTATGGTGGGAAAGCCAACAACTGGACTTATGAGTTCCCTTTCCCTGCATCGCACCAAGTCAGACTCCCACTGCAGGGAGATGTGAAATGGCGCGGGATGCAGGGCCGGTTTTGGAACGCCAGTACACACATTTCGCAAAAAGTTGGTTGCTGTTTCAACACGAGAGCCCTTTGACTGGTCATGATCAGTGGACGCCCAACGTAGTCAAACTTGTCTCTGACAGATCTGCCCACCTCCCTCTGTCGGTGATCTTTTGATTCTTCCAAGGGTGACCTGGGCCGACAGAGCGCACACTCAGGACAGCCCAGTGTTGGTCACAATGCCCACCATTGAGCGGACAAGGCGCCAGAAGGATCAAACATCGCCAAAGAGCCTACAACGGTTCTCTTTCGCGAAGTTGACAAGGCCCAGCAACTTTCATTGTGTTCCTGGTTTCTTGTGCAATGTTCACGACAAAAAGCATTTGTGTTCAACGAAGGAAAATGGGAGGATGGTATT